ATTATTCCCACAAAACAAAATCCCCCCCAAAAAGTGATTTATCCGACGTCTGATTGCAGCCATTTTTCAAGTGGCAACCCTCAACTTTCTCGGGCACTTAGGACCATTTTTCAACCGTAGTTTTCAGACCTTCTGCCCTCATATGAAAGCTCAAAGACCCAGGGAGTTGATCCTGGCAACGATTAACACAATCTCTCCATTTTGGGGGCCAAACAATCTCCTTTTGCAAAAGATAGTGTGGGGGCACTTTTAATGCTAATGAGCTGGTCAGAAATTCTCACTTGAATTTGTGGTCTGCACCCATGAGCTCTCTATGCAAGTTACCGTTTCCAGCAGATTAGCACAACTGAACACATCATAAAGAGCACCTCTAAAAAAGTTTTCGCAGATTTTATCTGTTCAGTGTCATTTATCTTCAGAGCTCAACTACAACAAGCTAAAACTGCTGTTTTCTGTTCATGCCAAGATGCGAATTCTGAATGTAAATTGCATCATTCGCAGAAAACCAAGAAAACGAGGGAACCTTCGCCCTGTGTTCGTGGTGGATAAACCTTCTATATGCTGAATAAATATTTACTTGAATAGATAAAATCAGAGAAACATGTTTTCCTTAGAGGTGCTCTTTAAATAGAGCGCCATATTTAAGATACAGACTGCCAGGAACATCTTTAACAAAAATTCTACAATAAAACATTGAAATCTGCGACTTAATTTTTATTTTTGAAAGTTGCTCAATATTTGGCTTTGTGTGGCGGTGATGGGGGAATCAAACAATAAAGATTTCAAGGAAATTTGTGTCGCATATTAAAATCAAAGTAATTTCTAACAAATACAGCCTGGCTGGAAAGACCACAAAGTTTGACATTTTGGCTAAAAAAAATCAAGAACATTTTGGCTTTTCAAAAATTTCCAGGGACCTGGGAATTCAGCAGTCCTTTAAGAAAAAATGGGGGTAACAGTGGGTATCATTAAGTGGAATTTAAATCGTTTCAGAAACAAGTGGATAAATCCAAACCAAGTCAGGAAAAAATTAAGCCCATAATTTACATTTATTTAGAGTTCGCAAAAAGTCAAGGAAACAAAATACAGAGTTTGTACAAAAAGCCAAATACTTGGAATGAATGGCACCTGAATACTTGAGACAAAAGTGTTATGGTTGAGTGCTCGTAACCAACCAAAAAATTGATTCAGTTTTAATGTTTGAAAACAATCTAAAAAAATCACCATGTAGAATTATCCATATGAATAATGCTCAAATTATTGTGCAGCTTACTGTTTCATGCACAGCAAAATGTATTCCTATTTTCAGACAAGCTAGACTCGAAGCCACTTTCTGTGTGTACAGTTGAACACAAATGAAAGCACCTTTAACAAAAGGCCATATTTATAACAAGGACAATTTTAGGTACAGCGTCTCTGGTTTTCACTAAACATGTACAAGGTAACTGCATGTATTATGACAAAGAAATTTGTGAAGTCCCAAGGACTTTAATATGACAGTGCTCCACTGTAATTACAAGATATCACGTTGGCAAAAAAAATTGAGTGACTGTTAAACCAGAGAATTCACTTTGGTCCCAAATTTTTCCCCCCCCCGCTCCATGAGACCTAACGGTTACTGAGGGTGGGGTAGGGGTGGGGTAAGATAGGAGAAGATTAAAGGACTTTCCAAATTCCAGTGTTTGTGCTCAGCCTCCGAATACATGTAGCACCAGAAAACTTGAATCATTAGGTTTTGTATTTCCTTCTAAATTTCTCTGTATCCTTTCCCATAGTACTGACATTACAGCAAAGACTGACACCTGAAAGAATGAACGGCTTTCGTAATGCCCATATTTAAATTTTGCCGCATTCAAAGTTTCAGACACTCCTTAAAATACATTAAGAGAAGGGATATAGTGATGCATAACAGCAGTGGATCTACACTGTAGGTTCCTGAAAATACAGAAAAAAATAAAGGGACAGAGGGGACCAGCCATGGCCCTGTATTTTCCAGTACTTTAGTGAACCTTAATCCCCCCGTGCAAATAAATCTTCTGTACCAGCTATGTACACTTGCCGTGTTAGGTCTACGTGTTTTAGAGTTGAACAGTTGAACATGCAGTGGACAAGCTCATTTGGTCCCTGTTGAACCATACCCACTGCTTCCACGTTCAGTCTTGGTTAGTTCCTGTGGAAAACAATCAAAAGAAGAAAGGTGACATTTATCAAAAAGAGACGAGGTAGAAAAAAACAAATGACACCAAGCCTCCAAATAACGCAGACATTGCTAACACCACGTTTTGACAATTGCAGTTTACATGTACAAGTTGTAATAGACACACTCCCTTTCAATTGAGTTCTTTCACAAAATCCATCCCTGATAGCCAAAAATGACAATCACTTTAGTTTCAAAACAATCTCGATTGGTTGTAAACAATTCATACAAGCAGCTTTATACATGGAACGAAACTTTGGACAGCATTTACCATTTTGGATATTGGAAAGCTACAGACAGACTGATCTGAGAAAATCTCAGGAATGACTGCAGTGGCACCTCACTCACAAGTATTCTTATTCTCGACTCGCATGTGCTTAGGGCAATTGAGACATCCTATTGGTCAAGGAGGAATGTAACAGGTGCATATCACCTGTCTGCAAGCACTGTGCCACCACAGTGATCTCCTTTAATTCTGGTTGACAAATTACACTATGCACTACTAACACTGACCAATTAAAAAAACAAATGAAATCAATACAGTGTACTGCAATAATAATATGAGTCTGCCTTGAAGCAGAAAGCAAATAAAACATGCTCACTTCTTCTTCCACTTCTTCTATCTCTGGATAGAATATTCTCTCGCATATTAGTTGTGCGATGCGCATTCCCTTCTCCACTGAAACAAAACACGACATGAAGACTGAGAAATAATTCACATATTCACAAAAATTGTAGATTCAAATCTGGCATTTCTTGACTGGTTGTCCAAACTAACAAGTATGGGTTAGGGTTGTGACAAACATCCAAATATTTGACGGATTATCGAATATTCGACTATTTCTTTTTTAAATTCAAATATTCAAATACAATATTCATGAAAAAGAATTTTATTTTTTTTCATGATAAAAATGGCACTTTAAATGCTTGTTTCAAGCAGATTCCGGACACTTTAAGGCAGCTGACATGCTCTACAGTCCAATGTAGAATCGTCACGCTCATTTGCAAAAGGTTAAGATCACCTGGAATTTTATTGGCATTTCTGTCACTGGCCCTGCATTACACTGTCTCATTGAATGATTACTTAACATGTTTTTACAGTGATGCACAGTGTTGTGCTATATACCCATTTGAATGATTTTTTTTGCAAAGGCAGGTCTTGTACGACACTTTGTAATGCAGATGGGTAAAAAAGCCAGTCTAAGTAATCAGAAATAAAGGAGGGCATACTAAATATTAGACTGTTAACATTTCAAATTTTTCACAACTTTTCCAGGCCGCAGGAACCCTGCAAATCGTGGATGTGTTTTGTTTCAAAATCAAATTGGGATTAAACTAGAACGGCAAAGCCGCCTGGCTTGCTGCTTGCTATGAATTTGAATTTCTTTCTTGTAATAACAGGAAAGAGACATCCAAGTTATACAAATATGGTTACTAAATCAAACAAGTAAATACTAACAAAGCTTCATCAAATTATTTTTACAAGGTTAGTTGACATACCACTGCAATACAGATGTACAAGTTATTTTATCGACCTTATCAATACAATTCATTGTACTTTAGGAGAAAAAAACTTAGTCAGTGCTGTGTGCAGACTGTGCGTTGAAAGGCGCCTGTCATTTAAAAGTAAATCAACAAAGACCACCACCAAGGGAGATACAGGTACAAAGGCTTCACAGTTCTTTACAGGAGAGAGGAATGCCTACAGAATGTGGATCCAGTGCAGTCAGACTAGACCTGGATGATTATATAAGCAGTGCATTTGTGAGTTTGATGGATGGTGCATGATTAAAATTCCTCTTAAGTACAGTTTTGCACTTTGTATGCAGTCCCATCATCCTATTCATCTCCTACTCCACCCCTGCCCATCATTCCTATTTCCCTTGACTTCTTACTCTGGCTGTCCCATCATCCCACTAATCCAGCCCCAACCATTACACCAACCTTATCCAGCATTTCATCCACTTTCTACATACCTGTACTTTGTCCCCATGATCCTCCTCCTACAGATACCCTTCCCCCCAAACAAAAAAACTAATCTGTCACTGGGAGTCCCCCCCTTACATTTTCCCCACATACTGTACATGTACATTTGTATGTGTCTGAACACTGCCTATACATACATAAATGTATGAACATTACAGGAATGCTCAGTACATGTACATATGTACTCTATATGTACTACAGGGCAAGTACACAATACGACTCAAAACTTTAACATTCAACTTTTATAATTTTTTTCATAAAATCCATAAGTTTCTAAGCATTAATGCCATATGAGACTATTTAAATACGATGGAATTCCAAGAAGAAGCAAACAAGCACTCAATGGCACATTCAAACACCTATGGACCTGCAAGGAAAAACTTCAACATTTGAGGGCGGACGGCAGAATGACAGAAATCAATATTACATAGGCTCGCACTTGCTTCGCAGCTCACCAAAAAGAAGTTCTCAAAAAAAACCCCACATCTTTCTTGGAACAGGACTGGCAAAGAAATCACTGAAAAGGTAAACAAAATTACGTTGAAAAGAGTATCCTCAAGACCATCAAGAAAAGCCTACCCTACCAATCTTCCAAGGGTTTTCATGCAAAAATAAGATTACAGAATGCAAATCAAGCAACATGCAAAAAGTCAATAACCATGAACAAAGAACAAAAATGACAAAACTAACAACACACATGAAAAAATTTAAGGGAACCAAATGGAACACCAGACTAACCTTTGAAGTCTGTCTTGCTAAGATTGAACATCACAACACCCACGTTACCACGATAGTCCCTGTCAATTACACCAGCTGAAACAAAATGTTTGGATTTCAGTTTAGGAACCCTGTAGGCAACAGAAGACATGCCACCCATATAATGCACTCCACATGTGATGCCTGGTTCTTCAACACTACAGTTACTATAAAAAAAACCTTTGAATCTCTTCCGTCAACCAGGTTTTAAATGATATTCATAAATACCTCAGTTTCCCTATTCAACAACATGCAACTTGACGGCGTATTAAGATTTGACAATGCCTGCTGTGTAAAAAATGCCCCCCCCCACCTGGATACGAGACAGTTTAATCCATCCCTATTGGTCGAGAGTCTGAACACGCCATGCCCGTGCCAAGTCCACATATGGAGATTCTTCTGGACAACTAGCACAAGGAATGTACCATAAAATGGACGGGCTTTTTGGGAAAAAGTAAAATTCTATCACAAAATCATTGGAAATCCATCAAATATTGACTTCTTTTGACTCTCTGTGTACAAGGGTATTTATGAATAGAAATAAATACATGTATGTGCTTGGTCAGTCACTGGCTCAGGAGAATGAAAGCTTAGTTGCGTCCATGCTCCTGAGCTAGTCTTAAATGCACGTTTAAGCCAAGCACATATTTATTCCCTTACAAATGTTCTGATAATTAAACCCTTAGTGATGGTCATTTTGTTGGATTTCATTTTTTAAAACTGCATGTATGAACAAGACACTGCTTTGGCTGTAATGAGATCACGTCACTATATAGTCAACTCTCGTTAATACGACGGCCTTGGGACTTACTAAATTAGCTCGTATTATCCGGACCTCGCCTTACGCGAAAGTTGCCCTCCTGCTTGACGTATGTATCACCAATTGACCGTACATAAAGCGTACACGTGTACAACTACAAGTGTGCATAACTTTTTGTTTAAAGGCACACAGTATCGTTTTGTTACATGAATTTGCTTTTAAACAGTTTGTTTATGAAAGTGAGATACAGTTTAATGAATGAAGACTTGTAATAAAGAACAATTACAAAATGTAAGAATGGAGTAAGTGGAATTTCCAACCAGTCATGTCGATTCGGAGTGACACGTCCCCGGCCCCGCACGCCGTGATGAGATCCACACGCACGCATGTAAAGTAAATACATTAACATTTTAGTTGGTAACCAACACCACAACTGCGCTTGTAGCACATAAAAATGTGAGGAAACCAGCTATTGGTGGCCAGGGTTCGAAATTCACGATGGCCACGACAGCCAGTGCCGTCGATGCCCTTTTACTCGTCGTGATGCCCCTCGGAAAATTGCATTGTCCACGGCCACTTTTGCTGTGCCCTATGCACACTTTGGCCGTTGTGCCCTGTCCAGTGAGTTGTCAAAATAGTTAACTATAAATTCAGCCCAGCGCTAGCGCTCACCAGCCGCGCCAGTCGGCGAGACCATACCACGAGCGATCAGGCTTGCATAGCCCGCACGGTAAACGGCCACATTGCCTTCACTCACGCAAATGCGTATTCACAAAATTTCTTAAGCAGCGAGCTGTTACTATAGTTATACACACCCCCTGCGTTACAGGCCAAGCCACGTGTGCACTACATGGACCGTCGAGAGGGGGTAGCGTTCACTTTTCAACTTCATGTAGCAATGAACATCGTGCGTGATAGCAAGCACAGACCCGCACCCTTACGGATTGCTAAGCGCGGTGTCCCATAATGCATTGCTGCATATACCGCTATTGCACACTTTCGCCTTGATCCGCTGCACGTGCGCAAGCACAAACTCGTACCCTTATGGATACGTGTAGCTAATCGGAGTGTCATATAATGCATTGTTGCATATACAAGTACTTGTACCACAAGTGCATTCCGCATCGATCCGCGTATAGTACATGCTTCAAGGGCCACGGACCAGCCATGTGGAATCGAAGTTTACCTATCACTACTGGCCCGCTTTCAGTTTGTACAACACACGACAATGCCTCGGAAACAACGTTTGAAACGTTCCTTTTTAAAGGGAACTCTGCAACTCGGCTAAAAACTGCAAGAAATTGGACTTTTTTTATGCATGCGTAAGTGGTGGTGTCACCGTATCTCTGAGATTGGCAATGTTGACGGCACCGTGATTTCCCGAAATCTGTGCCGGGTGAAGATGCGGCCACGCCGGCAATGCAGGCATCCAAATATATCTCCGCCTGCATTGCTGGCAACAAACACATGATTGACAAAATAGCTTAGCGAAACCGTTGCTGTCACCTGCAAAATATCTGTTACTGTTTTAAAATAAAACTTAGAATTTGGAAAAATATATACATTTTCATCAGTATTTGGTTTTAGCATTGGATTATTGTGTTTTTATCCAAATTTCATGTAATGCTAGAATGCTGATCATGTCTTTATCCTCCATTTAATATTGGTATTTATGACCATGTGACAGGCTCTCAACCAATAGTAATGGCTAAACTGGTTTGCATATGAAGTGCAGTAAATGATGAACTGGAAGAGTGACATTTTAATTTTTTTTTTCCATCTTCAGTATTAAGAGGCCATTAGCTAAAAAGTAAGGGGTNGGTAACTTGAAAGTCTATAAGTCAGCATAAGGGATGCGCACACATCTTCAAGTGTAAGGAAAAAAAAAGAAATTAATTTGACGATCATTCATGTGCAACTCATGCCCTGTTCATAGAGGGTAACAATTCCTGGTGTTAGGTTTTGACTGCTTATTGGACATTTGCTCGAGTGTCAACTTTTTTACACAATAAAGCAAAGAATGCATTTTAAAGGTTGAACAGATTGTGTTTTGACAAATTTGCCTTTAGGCCCTTATCAATTTTCGACAATGGCCTCCGTGCCCATTTCATTTAGTGACCTTGGTGTCCCTGGAAATTTTGACTTCTCCAAGGCCAAAATGGCCTAGGCCTCTAAAAAACGAATTTCGAACCCTGGGTGGTGTGGAGAGCAGAGGGCGAATATCAGATTTTACTTTGGAAAGACATGTGGGTTTGGTTAAAAATGATTAGCGAGGGATACACTGTCTTCTTTAAAACTAGTGGTTGTTATTTTCTTAAACATTTTTGGACTGAAAAACATGGTTTTAATAATGATTTTCTTAAATTGAGAATTTATAGAAATGTCAAAATTGGAAGGGGTGGAGTTTTCATGTTCCAGTGGGAAGCAGGTAACGATTTTTAGACGGAGGGTGGGCAGTTTTTGGGCCGGGTGTTTGGTTACAGAACACAATATTTATTAGTTTCCTGGCGGGACTTTGGTCTTGGGGAATGGGGGAGGGGATCAAACAGAATACTTCTTTTGTTCACGAATGTCCTAAATACCGTAGCACTTTTGGCACTCCGCTTGTGTTCAGGCGGTACAAGAGCCATCACACAGAATTTCTACGTTGGGTACGAGAACCACAAATGCCCATTGTTCGTCTCTCTTGGAGCACCCGACACAAACGGCTTGATTCATTGAGGGAAAACCGCAGCGCTGTTCTACTGTACACGCATAAATTACGGAAATGCCTTTCAAAATTGAATGGACTGGCTGACTGACAAGTTGCCGTCAAAAAAGCTTGTGCTTAATAGACAGATAACAATAGATTCACACTCGGCCAGCGCACAGAAAATCCTTGTCTTAACCAAAATCTCGTAACATCTGAGCTCGTATTAAGCATTTTTCCCATCATAGGGACTGGGACTGGCAAATATGATCGTCTAAACCAGAGTGTCATCTTACCCGAGCTCGTATTACCGAGAGTTGACTGTACACAAGATAGTAAGATATACATGTACATAAGAAAATGTGTGCTTGGAGGTAGAGTTTAAAGAGGATAAAAACTATAGCATGTCATCCATTAAGATGCTTTCCTATCATCTCAATTTGTCTGTTACAAGCATGCACGGGAGAAATTATTTCAGAGAAAATGGAAAAGCTAGACAAACTTCATACAGAAATACTAAAAGCCACCCTAAACTTTTGTAAATACTGCCTCAGGTTGTTCATGGTTTGGGGTCGTAGATCAACTGACAGTGCTATTTATCTTGTTATTGTGGATGGTGGTACACAGTCATTGTTAGAATTTTGACACTGATACTGATCAAATATTGGCCGCTGGAGTCAGAGTTTGAGAGATCATGGCAACAGAACCTCAAGCAGGTATGCTAAGTGTTGAGGACAAAAAGGTGCTACATTTCAGGCATCCATTGCACTCAAAATTCACCAGGATTCCAAACAGAACAGGACAGAGGAGGTCAGGGGTTCCTGAGAAATCATTTTTGATTGACAGGGGAAGAGGAAAAGATTGCATAAACAATGAAATCAAAACAGGTGAACAAATGTACACTCTTCTGAATACAATACAATCCCCCAAAACAAACAACCAAGACCAACATTTTAGAAAGATGCAAGCTGTTAAACTAAATTTTTGGAGGTGGTAAGAAGTATATGATCTTCAATTTGAAAGCACGTGAAAATATAGCCTGATTTTGAAATCTTAAAAACGAAATCTCAGTGAATTATCCTGTTTGTAAACCTCAGCATGGTAAAATTATGGTAAAATTTGAATCACCGATTGATGAAATATTAAACTAGATGTTGCATCAATTAATCACCACACAAAATGAGGAAAATTGTCGTAAATGTCACATCTGGTGAAAGTGCACTCCGAGTAATGCAGTTCGAACAGGAAAAATTTTACATTGTAATCTGGAGCGAAAAGGGCACTTTGCAGTCAAATACTTTTTAATGTAATACTGCTACATTTTTTCCCTTATCAATTCCTCCAGATTATAGCGAACTTTGTGAAAAATTCACCACAATGGAGACTAACACCTGGAACTCTGAAAACGATTAGACAACACAGATCCCCCAACCTTGTCAAGTGTTAAACTATAAAATCTTTCAGAATGCAAAATCTCACATAAACTACGTACCACCAACATCAATTTGATTGTTTCGGGCTAGCCCTGATCTCGGTGCCACTCTTCCATAGCAACCTTCAGGAAGTTCAATTTTAATGTCGGTCATCACCGTCTTTGTCCCATGGGAGGGAATAGTCACGTCCTCAGCACTGAGTAGAAGAATTGATCAGAAGTCATTAAAAAAACGAAACTCCAATGACTAAAATTCAGCATGTCCAAAGCTGCTGGGGGGAGGGCATTTCTCCTACCTTTCCCTCCCACCATCCATGCAAAACAGAAAATACGGTAAAAGAGTGAGGATGGAGGAAAGGTAAGAGAAAAAGTGAGAGAAATGAAAAAGGAAAGAAAGAGGAATATCACTAATTTCATGATTAGAAATATTAGTTTTGTTGCTTGGTGCCCCAATAGAAAAGATCTTGCCCTATATCCTTAATACGTCTAATTCCTTTCGTTCACCCCAACCTACCAAAAATTCCCAAGCAAAAGAAAAACTTCTACCACTTTTGGATTTTGCTTGCCTAAATGTATGGATTCAAGTAATGTTTCTCAGATTACCCACTTTTATAAACACTGTGTGAAAGACTGTTTAAACTTTTACACTCGGGTCCATGAAAGAGATGCAATAAGCAACAAATTTGCTACATTTAAGAAGCACGTCATAATCCTCAATGCAACCAAAAAATCACCAGTTACGTGTACGCAGAAAAAAGCACTATGCAAAAGCAAATGGTGATTGAAAAATAAGTACTACAGTGCTACCCTGTACGAGACATGAGGCTGCCCCAGAAATAGAGATATGCCACTGCCTATTTGCAGGAAAACACCCCTAATCTAAAATGGTCAAACCCTGGCACACATAGAGGTTGAGAAAACGATGATTAACTACAATGGAATGGATTCCCCTGCAATGCATGGATTCCTGACATGAGATCTGCAAGTGGTGAGTAAAAAAAATTGAATTTATTATCCAGAATACAAAGTTCCTTGGTTCATGTGTTTGTGATCACCCTCCCTGACATGCCTGAACAGGGCTAAGTGTGGCCCACTTGTACTGTACACCTGCACTGTGATGCATTAACTATTGAGCACAAACTGGCCTACATGAAGCTACATGTATGCTCCTTGGTGTTACTCAACAGACATGAATCAAGAGGGACTGTGCACAATCCATGGTACATGTACAGTGTTACACTGGCCCTAAATGCAATGCCCTCCAAGGCAGGGATGCCTTTGACACATATAACGGTATATATATAACGGTATTTGTAATACCGTATACGATAATTTTGTTCTTTATGTTGGTTTCTAATTGTATAGGCCTAAGCGGGAATTTTTTTTGTTTTCTCATCGGAGGCTTTGGAGGATTTTTTAAAGGGAAATAAAGTCCGAAATCTGTGGTAAGTTAGCTTGCTTGCGCAGTTGCAGTGCCAAAACGATAGAAAATGGGAGATGCGTTACGGCTGAGCTGCCGTAACAGCGGCCACTGCGTATTTTTAAACACAATCAACACAGTCATGACAGTCAGAATGGTCAGGGTTTAATTTCTGCGTTCTTTCCAATCAGTGACAGGATAGGCCTAGGCCCTATTGTTAAAATACACCTCGTGGGCTTAATGTGATCATGGTGAGCAGGTGGTGAAGATTCTGGTTCCTACATGTACGAACTTGGCAGATGGAAGGGGCTTCACCATCCTTGAAGTTTTATAATTTTGTCAAAAAAAAAAAAAAATAAGGCTGTACAAAGTTGAAATTTTGAACTTCATTTTATGTCATTTCCCCCTTGTTAAATGCGCACAGGTGGGAATATAACAGCGTTCAGTTATTTCATTCAATTAAGTTATACTTACTAGGCCCCAGAACATTCGAGGACCCACCTGTATAAATCATATCCGGCGGCGAATTCTGTCCCCTTCTTTGGAGGAGTTGCGTTCTCTGACAGCTTTGCATAACGCAGCACAGGAGGCACTACCGCTGTGTTGTTCGGCATATCTTCGTCGATTCTGGCACGTTTAGGGGACGGAGAGTAATCTGTCTCTTCGGCAGAGGCAGGCATTTGATCAGTGAATTCTGAAGTCGATGATACTGTAGCTGAATAGGTATTGTGAATCAATCCTCCGTACGGAAACGAAGTTTCGCGGGAAAAAATTGTATTTTGGCGCGAAACTCCCCATAATCCTCTTCTCATGCCAATCATTTTCCGGTGGGCGGAACTACAGCTACAGCTGTCTGAAGAGAGATCCTGACGGTCCGGTAACAACTGGAAGTGTGACAAATTTCGCAGTGATAAAAAAGTATAATACCTTTTGTATTTACTTAGTGCATTAACTATCATTTTGAAGATAGATATTCAGAGTAAACTGTCCACAACAAAGGTAAATAAATGTTCAAAGAAGGCTTTTAATCGTAACCGAGAGGCGACCCGCTGAACTTCGACCATTTTCCAATAACTAATTTACAGCGCCCTCCATTGTTAAGTCATTTGTGTACCATGTGTGCGCACGTACGTACGTACGTACCGTGACGATGGCCGTAAAATCTAGTGGAGGAGAAAAACGTGTGTGAGACTAGACTGAGTGCTTGTCAGATTGCATGTATGTAGCTGAAACTGAATCATAAAGTCGGCAAAGCCTCCATCAGGAAACATCACACCAACTTAGCTAGCTGTTCCATGTATTCCATGGACCATAGTACCCCCCAGAACTGTGGGGTCCTACGTCCGCTCCGAACGTGGGAGCGGAGCTGCGGACGTCGGGCCCCATATGCAATCACACGTATGAAGCCAAACCACGGTTCACAACCATGCACAAGGCATGACATCTATGATGCTCAACCAACCACAAAAACTTCACGTGTGAAAATTAGGCTCCTATAACATTCGGGTTTTATTTTCCTGGAAAATAATCCCACCCTGTCCACAATTTCGACCCAGGATTCGAACCCACACCCCATTTACAGAAACCATTAAAGCTGTAACCGCTTGACTATCGCAATTTACACAAGTTGGCGGTGTTTTTACTGTTGATATACCGATGAATGGATGCAACGTGAGTCTAATACACATTGGACATGTGCAATACAAACACAACCACTGTGGTTTGGCTTCGTACGTATGTTTGCATATATACATGTATCTCGTTCTAAGGGTAGGACCATGGAAGATTAAGACGCCCCCCCATGTATGGACCATTGCTCAAGAAAGCTTTGCTACTACTATGCTAGGGAGGCTAGGGCCTAATAAATTTTTCAAAATTTTTTTTCTGTTTTAATTTTGAAGTCATCTTGGAGAGGACTATTTTCACATAAATATAATGTAACGCAAAGAAAAATCGATTGGAAGTGGGGATGTGTAATGCAGAGCAAACTGTGATTATTTTGTTCACAAAAATGACAGTGGATTTTAATTGAATACCTCAAAAAATATACAAATGACAAACTAGAACAGGTTTAGATACTGTGGGATAGAAATGAATAAGAACGTGAAAATAACTGAACAGGTTGACGAAAGAACAAGGTAAAAAGTGTAGGTCAAGCAACATGCATATAAACAGTACACTGATCAGAAGAAAGAAGTGAAAGAAGTGCAAATTTTTGAAGGAGTTTGGGTACGAGTTAGAAAACCTGGTATCGCACCTACATGTACATGTAAAGGTGAATTGTAGTACTGTGAAATTGTAAGAAAACTGAGCACATGTACTCATATCAAGCAAACGATGGGAGAAGTTAGAATGTGAATAAGATGATTTTGGCCAAACCAGCAAGTGAAGCCATTAATTGTCATTTATGCATGTCCCTAGCTTTGCTCTTCCCCTACCCTGCCTGGCATGGGGTTTGTCAGCATGTTCAGCAAACGGCGAATACCAGGTCCAGGTTCTGGGAGAACTTTTGCTTATGATATTTGGAAATTTCCAATTGTGAATCTCTAAATGTCGGTGAGCAAAGAGCTTGAGTTAATCAAGCTAAACTTGGTCCTTTTTTTTGCCTTTGGTTTCGTCGGTATTGTAACCATGGTAACCAGGCTTGGCTTACCATGTAGCTCCCTTCATTGTAAGTACACTGTACATGTAGTCTACCAAAGACAATGCCTTTGATAAATGCCCCTATTTAAAAAATCTGGAAAAGGTGTTTAATATTGTATAGGCCAATCAAATTAATTTGATCATTGGTCTTTTGTTTTCAATTTTTTTGTAAGACTAACCAATGACTTTTGAAGATACATGTATGATGATCACCCTGAAACACATGTGTCGATGGAATTGAGATATGTAACTAATACTATGGATTAACTTTAGTGTCCTCCATCAGATTTAGCAGGGCAGGATGCCCCGTTAAATGGCTTTTCTTAAATTCTCTACTGTTGTTACAGTTATGTTCCATATGTACATGTAAGTACAGAGAAGTTTACCGCACTTTGTGGAATAAAGTTATGAGTTGCTAGCATCAGTATTCAACAGAAGAGTATTGCACTTGCAGTAGCGTTAGTGATCAAACCCAGACGCAGGCCGTGTCGGAAACGGGCTTCCAGAGCTACGACTAGGTCTATTGTCTATGTGTCTCCACGCATTTCCAATGGAGCGAAGACCTAGACTTAGCTCTAGACAAGAGATTCGGATGCAGCCTCAGTACTTGAGCACAAAATTCTGGACTGGTTTCAATTCCCTGCTCATATCATTTCACTTTGTTGCATCGGAAACCAGTTAACCTAAATTACAGTGTTCCCATAACATTTGAGGGTATTTTTATTTTAGTCATAACCCCATCCGCTCCGTGATGAGTTCCAATCAGTAAAAAAAGAACTGAATGCCCCAGAAAAACAATCTACTTTTGATGACCAAACCCGCTCCCAGTAACAATCTTGCCTTCATTCCAAGTTGTTAACACGAGCAAATGTGATTCAAGGAGTCAGAAGAAAGTGCCCAGGAAATGCTTCAGATTGTACCACAGAGCATGTAGATGTAAATGTTCATGTACATGGGAGTTACATACATAGTAGTCCCATTCAACAATGCCACTATTGGATGTTGTGACTGGCAACTGCAGACTCCCAGGCTGTTTGGCCTTGGGGAGAGTTGACCTGTTGGATCTTGCTACACTGGAAAGGCAATCCACTTTGACAAATGATGCAGTCTGATGCGTCTGGTAGCATTTCTAGCCAAGAACTTGGAGGGTTAGCGTTAACACATGTGTATGTATCACATGTAAGATGACATCCATTATCATTTATAACAGGCTAATGTCACAATCCAAGAAATATTAAATTCAACATACTAACTTTCTGTTCCTAGTAATTTTTTCAGTACTCAGTGTTTTACATGTAGTTGGCCTACTGTGGCAGTGCAGCGGCATGACACCACTAGATTTATGTGTGATAACTGCAAAAGTGATGACATGGGTGTGGTATTACCAAGTGCTTTTCACTCACTAACGTCTGTGAGTTGGCAAGCTGTTACAATGTAAATTGATACGGAACTGGCTCTATTGAATCAAGAGGATAATGCCAGAAATTTGTTTCTTCTAATAACCGCGCCATATGCTAATGTTCATGTAGAAGACTGATGTGAACAAAATGGTGTCAAATTTTCCTAAAATTTCATAAGCTCTCCCTCTTGAAGTGCGATTTACATATACATATGCATGTAGCAGTACAAATGCATTGTAAATAAAGTGTACATTAAACTGTGATCACTCTTCCCCCCTCGTTGATTGAGGGAGTGCTCGTTTTTTTCCATCATTTTCACGAGGTTACAAAACACACTCTTTAACTCCCCCTCTTAAAAGAAACTGTGAAAAACCTAACAATGGCCGATCGTCACTTTCCGAAGTTCAGGAATCATGACCCGAGAAATTATTTAATCCATTAAGTAAGTTACCTTTTTTTTTGACTAGGACTATAGTTTTCATATTAGCATTAACTTGTAATTTTAATAAACCATCATGGATTGATTGCTTGATAGATTGATCACCGTTGTTTTTGTCGTTCACAGACGGGTAAGCTTCATGAAGGAATCATGCCATTTGTCTTGATCTGTGGACTGCCTAGCAGTGGGAAGACTTGCAGAAGCAAAGAGTTAGAAGCTTACCTTGTGTCCAACCACGGTGATCGGGAGGTAACAACGGTGGGAGATGATTATATTGGAGCAGACAGGAACACCGCTTATGCCGGTAAGTCGCAAAGTCTGTAAATTTATGCTAAGCTGGTGAACAGGTGTTTCCCAAAAATATACTGAAGCATTGGCTGTTTTCCAGTACTTGACTTTGTCTCTGTCTCGGGCTTTGTCTCTAAAATCAGTTCCCAATTATAGGCCTGGAGTGTTCAAATTAAAATGAACTTCTGTAATATTATTCTCTTTTTCATCTTATAAAAGGTTTCTGTGGCATTTATTGAACTTACTATTGAGACCACAACTTCAAAATCAGCTGATAAAAAAAAAAAAAAGAAACAGGTGAAACCTGAGACTGAGGCAAAGCCGAGTATTGAAAAATAGCCATTGTTCACGAAATGCTTCTACTAATGAAAAGGTTAAGGATGAAGCTTGAAGGCTAGTCTAAAAACAATTCATCATCCCAACATGTCCTTGCCTTTCTGTGATAATAACGTGAACTTTTTCTCTTTATTTACAAACACAAGCAGACTTACGTGCAATGGGCTCACTGGTACTGAACAGAACTTTGTGTGTTCCAGTGCTTGCACAAGTATATTCACAGGTTTAACTTTAAAGGAGTAAGTTTTTGTGCTGCTGCCAAAGTAATGGGTGTTCAAATATTTACATTCTTTGTGGCTAAATTGCTGGTGACCTAGTATTTTTTGTTGTTTGGGATAAAAGGATGCTTTTTGTCTCATAAAAGAGAGCCCTTCATTTTGTTCAAATTTTCTGAGAGCTGTGGATGCTGACATCATCTACAGACGAGGAAGTGAAAGAGCCCAGGAGTTTGGCTTTTAGAATTAAAGAAAATTGGTGCCTTCAATACTAGAAATGGTCGATGTCTGTGAAAAAGGGTTTTGTTCATTTTTGGAGTGACCTCTGTGATCAACCCTGCGGTCGTGATGAGTTGAAGGCCGTATTAACCATGAAAAAAAAAAAAAATCTGAGCAGGTCATGTATGGCAACTTGTACGTGACAAACTCTTGGCAGTAGTAAACTGTCCTTGCTGTGGTGGGGCTCTCAGACTTCTTTTTCACGAGGGGGAAGGGCAGTGAGGCTGGGTAAGGCCAAACAAAAATATTGTTCTGTTTCTCAGCTGAAAATATGGTGGTTAGGGAGGAAATTTCTCAGGTTTTTTAAAAAAATACTGATTGATGGTGTATATGTACGTACATGTATGTAGCTAAGTGTTGCAGTCAACAGGTTAAAACAACGATGAGACAATTAGCAACTCTTTAACCCTTTCACTCCGGGAATCATCGATATTTCTAAAAATCCCTTCAGGTTCACGTTGTATGGATTGGGAAATAAGAAACGGGTCATTCCACGAAGTTCGGGCACAGCTTGTGACGGCGTTCCTTGTTACATCAGTTAAAATAAACATCTTTTTTCCTTGCATGTGGATTCTAAATTGACATTGTTCTAAATCTTGCTAGGTTCTTGTAGTGGTGTGCTTCATCTTTGCCGAATAATATGGCCTAATCTGTTTTAAAATGAAAATAATGGGCAATAAAAGTTACCTATGTAACTGAATTTCATGGAATGACCCAAATATAACCTTTTTGGCTGAAGCTCAGATTTGTTCATTCTAACCGTATCTGACAGGAAGTACCAAGTTTCACATTGTGATGTCACCACAAGTGATGATGCCATCGCGGTGTCACTTTATGTGGCACATCTGTTGTGAAGACAGCCTGCATAGCTGGCTTCAAGGTTGTTATAGGCAACTTTGACAGAAACAATGATTTAGAGTAATGATGTCATACTGTAGTACCGATTGCATCATGCAATCATCCCATTGTGCAGTTGTGCATGGATGTGCATACTATTGCCCAAGTTTGGACAAAGAGATTGGAATGTTAACGGACCAGTGCCGGTACTTCTGACAAATATCGTCACACTGTACATGTATGTAACGGTATTGTTCAAAGAATAAGGAGGTACAAGATTCACTATTTATGCGGTATTACCGGTATTCGTGAATCCAGTACCAAGGATATTCCTGGTACACTTCTGCTCCCTTGAGGGGGCTGCATGAGATATTTTGTGATGCGTGGATATGGTACTCAGAATATGATGGATGGGGTCTACAGCTAGTGTCATAACTTTTTGTGCACAAAATTGCAAGGGTAAATTCTGTCCTTGGGCACTGATGTCCAAAATTGGGGGGGGGGCAACATATGGTAAGAGGTTGGTTGCCTTGACATGCACCTTATCCTTTGGTAGCGAGGGCATGTTGACGGCACTCACTTGGTCTCACAGGCGGGACTCGGCATTTGGAGGCAGGATGCAGATAACGCCTGGCCAGCACCACTCTTACACAGTGACAAAAGTTCTTCAGAAGGATGACAACTGTGTACGATTCAAGTGTGAAGCTGCACCCTCTGATGTGTTTGAGAATCCTGCTAATGCTCACTGCTCGGTGGTGCCTTTCCAGTTCCCAGCATCTGTCTCCCCCAAGATTGCACCAACGGAGGTGAGACAAATCCCATTCGCATCATCTGGAGGAAACTACCAAAGTATGAAAAAGAACGTTCCCAAATAAATGGTACTGGAGGGAGGTTCCTTTTGGATGCTTTGGGGAAAAATCCTGACAGTCTCGCCTGTGTTGGCTGAGGATGAAGGCACCAAGATACTATGCCAAGTTTGGCATCAGATGGACTGTCGTAAATCCAGCCCCTGGTCAGTATTGAAGGTGCTTGTATCTCCAGAAGATATGGCAACAGCACCATCCCCTGATGATTGTAGCTCCTCATGTTCCTCTAACCTGTGGAATGGACAATTCATCATTGTAACCATGGTAACAGGAAGCAGCTTTTTGGCTGGGATTGCCGTCACTTTCCTGCCTTTCTTTGCTCTCTGGTGACAAACTCAGAAGAAAGGTGCTGCTCCTAAAAAGGATGAATCCAGTGACCCTCCACAAGAAGCACGATACATTGAACCATGTGATATTGACGTGAACCCACCTATTGATGAGGGCTTGTATCAGAACTTGGACATACTGGTTCCGGTCTGCGAGATAGTGATGAGAACACACACATGTACCGGTATGCATGTTGTAGAACTCCTAAGGTGTAGACTGGAAGTGCTGTTTGTTAAAAGAACTCAAGTAAACTTACTGTAAATTTTTCTTTAGTGAGAGAAGTAGAGAATTATTGGAACCAGGTTTTTGATGAATATTGGATGATGGGAGGGGGTGTATGTAACGGCAACATACTTTCGTATTAGATACCAACTCATATCATGTACCAGCATACATTGTACATGTACGTTGCACGTTTACATGTGAAGACACGTACACGTACCTTGGGAACTGTACAAAAAGAAAGGAATTAGTTCTGTAGCTGAAGCTGAAGAATTGTGACACTGAACATGGTCATTTTAGTTGGAAGACAAAAGGCCTGAAGGCTACAGGTACTTGTTACTTTGACACTTTGGCAAAAATTTCCATGGATTAATTGGATTATTAGAAGAGAACAAAAATAAAGCACAGAATGTTTTCCTTGGAGGCACTACACCATTGCTCATGGCTGTTTTCTTGGAGGCACTATACCATTGCTCATGGCTGTTTCCTTGGAGGCACTACACCGTTTCTCATGGCTGTGCAATTTCGCATTGCCATACAAACCCTGATGGTGGCAAAATTCTCTTATTGGCAAAGTGAGAATTGACGTCATGCATTTCCCTATAAATGTACATGTACATGTAGTTTTAAAGAATTGTATGCGGTAGGTACAATGTACACATACTGTATGCACATTGGCACTATGTAAACTGGAACAGGCTGAGAGTTGATCAACTTCAGTGTCATTTGGTCTTGACGAATAAATTTTCCTGAGAAGGAAGAGGATTTCTAAAATACATAAAATTGTTTTCTTAAACGTGAGCATTTTCACAAGTGAAAACAATGTTGAAAGAGGAAACTGATTTTAAAAAACGGTATGAAATAGATTTTGTAAACAAAAAGAGAAGAGCCACTGACCCCATTATGAAGCTAACCAGGATGTGGGAGTTTGGAAGTTGTGAGGTAATAATGGATGGAATGATGGGTGCAGGGACAGAGTAGGAGATGGATCAATGATGGGTGCATGGGTGGAGTAGGAGAGGGATGGGATGATGGATGGAGGGGCGGAGTAGGAGAGGGATGGGGTGATTGATGCAGGGGCGTAGTAGGAGAGGGATGGGATGATTGATGCAGGGGCGGAGTAGGAGAGGGAT